ATATTTCAAGCTCACCATTAACAAATATTGTCGGTTTTGACTCGTTGCGTTTGGTCTTTAGGATTTTAAAACGGATAAAGATTTCTACACCCTTGCTTAGTTCCCCTCTCCAACGGATGTGAGATTTCACAATCCAATCGTGTCCTACACACAAATTGTGAGATTTCACATCGGTTTGAGAGAGGAACGAAACAGTCATTGAAAGGGTGAGAAAAACTCTCCCTAGTAGGCGTGTTTTGGATAACGATACGTAATGAGTTAAAACGGGCAATATGTACTAGCAGTGAGTTTAAACTGTTACAAATGGTATCAGAGTCTGACACGAGGTGGTATGTCACGAGGTGGTATGTCAGAGGATGCTAGGCCCACAAGAAAGTAGATCGTGAGACGGAGAGAAAGGGAGGAGGGGGACATGATGATGGAAAGAATGCATAGTTTGTGAGGGACACGACAAGGAAATGGTCCAAAATAACAGAGCAAGCAATGGTCCAAAAGGTGGCATTATAGGACACATACAATTCCCCCACCTCAACCTCTGTCACACACTACTACTACCTTCAAACTCACACCCTTCCCCAAACCACACAATATCCGGTCGCATTTCACGTTCATCCGTTTACAGTTAAGAAAATGATACGATGTAATATGAATTTCATTTATTTTTAGATAATTACAAATTTATACTTTCTTCTGGTCAATGATTAAGTTTCTTTGCAATTTAATGTAATTTTAGTCGTATACTTAGAACCGTTTAAATTTGATTCGATCAATTTTAATGGTCGAACTAACTTGGTGGGTAGGGATTGGAAATTAGGTAATGATTTGAATTTGAATTCTTTGTGAAGAAGAAGATAAAAAGTGGAGAGAAGAGGGGCAGGTAGAATAATGGCCAATTGAATTATATAATAAGGTGGGGTTTAATTTAATTTTTTTAATATAAAAAACGTGGGCCTGTACGTACACCACACCACGCACGTGCTATCTGAAATTTGAATGGAAAGAGAACCAAATCAAATATTTCTCATAAAGAAAATTGTAGGTACAGCTAAAGCAGACAAAATTTACTGGTGGTGGGCTTGAGCTCATATAAATAATATCAGAGTTAGACATCAGACAGGATCCCAGATTATGAAAGGGGAACAAATTGTTTATAAAGGTATGTAAACTTGTCAGTAACACAGATGTGTTTTAAAGTCGAAATTTTATTAGATATAAATTTAAAATTATGAAATAAGCTTATAATTAATTTAAAAAATTATATTTATTTTTTACTGTTTAATGATAATAATAAATTTAATTAAGCAGAGATTTAAAATGGCGACAAGAATTTAAATTAATTTATTTTCTATACTTTATTGCATCGCTGGTTTTTTATTTTTATTTTTATTTTATTTATTTTTCCCTATTTTGTGAGATCGAGGGCGCGAGCGAGGAGCGGCTGGAATTCCTGTAGATCTCAGTGAAATGAAGCTGCTAGGATGGTGGCTGATGCTGGTGGGATCGCTCCGGTTGGCCTCCGTTTGGTTCGGATTCTTCGATATATGGGCGTTGAGGCTCGCCGTCTTCTCCAACACAACCAGTAATCTTTCTCTCTCAGTCATCCATTAATTTAGTTTCTGCAACTCATGTTCAAAATGTGCGTTGTGTTCCTCTCGTATCCAGATGCATGAATCTTGTACTGTTATCTCGTTGATTCTCCCGTGAATATTTGAATTCCATTGAATCAAAATTCGTACTACTTCTTTTATTGCGATGACGATGTATTGTCACGGACTGGAGTTCTTGTCCTGTGTTTCGATCCGTGACCAGAGGGCAAAGACCTAAAGCTGATATTTCCTCTTCTTCTCCTAGGCAATGCTGAACTCTGTTTGAATATTTCATTGACCAAAAAAGTGTACTCGGGAGAAGGACGAAATTTGTTGTGTTTCTTCGTAGATAGTGAAATTCGTAAATTGGAACCTATATATGAAAGTGTTTTTCCTTGATCATACTAGTATTATCTATAAAATCAATCCACGCTATTAATTCTTAAGCCTGCAAAATGAGCTCAATCAGTTTCTTAGGTTTTGGTTTTGAACCCACATTTACTTGGTTAATCTAATCTGCCATTCTGCTGCTCATCTAACACACCCAATATCAAGTTTTCTTCAATTTTGGACTTCTGGGATTCTCCATTTTCACTATAATTTCATGCTATGCGTACATCCGTTTTGATTATTAGATTCTAAACAGACGTTTATCAATGAAGGAGACGATTCGAAATGTGACGTATAAGAGGACTGTATACTTGTATACCTTCTCATTTATAAACTTCTATTTCATACTCAAAATTCTCCACAGAGATTTTTATTTACTTTTATTATTAGTTTTTCTTTGCAAAATTGTGTTGGAGGAATGCCTCCATGGTAGGATATGTCCTGGTGCTTAAGTTTTACTCTCTTGTCATTTGAATTTGAAGGTGAATGAGTTGGAGATGTGTTAACTTGCTTCAAAATGATACCATGGCTCCTATTCTTACACAACATGCAATATGCTCAGTAGTAGAGTTTTATTGAACAAAATATTACTGGAATATTTTTCCCCTCTCCTTATGTTGCTTATTTTCTATTGTTGTTTGGTTATTATATTATGTTTTAATGAGTGAATGTGTTATCTGGATTTAATGTCATGTTCAATTACTACTAACACTAGAAGCTTAGTATGTGTGGATTATAGGAAATTTGTTTATTTATAGTGTTTCTTAATCTTCTCAGTATGTGTGGATTCAGAACATTTGTGATAACTATTATTAGTTACAGAAGCATAGGCTTTATGTTGAGAAAATCGTTCCCTTCTTCTCCTTATGTGTGTGAGCTTGCATTTTAGTAAATAGGAAAAAATAACCAGCATGGATTTCAAGCTAGGTTCCCTATTCTAATATTGCTTTAATTCATCTTTAATTCTAATTTATCTGTCAAGTTAAAGTTCATGTATCTATTTAAATCATGGCTTAACTTTTGGTGCCAATTCATGTCGTTATCTTAGGGCATGCTCAATCCTGACTATTCTGCTCTCTCTTGCTGTCTTTTGTGATAGTGACTGAAGTTCATGGAAGGACATTTGGAGTGTGGACTCTCCTAACTTGCACTCTTTGCATTGTCTGTGCATTCAACCTTGAGAATAAGCCCATTTATTTGGCGACCTTTTTGTCCTTCATCTATGCTTTGGGGCATTTCTTGACCGAACACTTGATATATCATACCATGTCCATCGCGAATCTCACGACCGTTGGCATCTTTGCGGGTATGATTGCTAGATTAAATTCATGACTGATTGAGTTGGATTTGGACTTCCATACCCATTGTCCTTATATCCTATTCTCTTCTTGTATTCTGAAGTCCTAAACTAGAACAAAAAAAAAATTCAGAAGAATTTATCTGAACTGATCCTATATATTGTTATCAAATCTAGTACATAACTAGTGGAAAGCCTGGTACTCTTTTTTATGATATATTTTAGCTAGCCAAGTTCCCATTCACGGTATTGCTTTTATTCTGAAATATGATATTTGTTAAATGATGCTTCTTTTGTTTGGCTTTTTGTTTTTGCCTTCAAACTTTGATTTAAACGTGAAGACCTTCATTGATGTCGAACTTTTTGTTAACAGGGACGTCAATAATATGGATGTTGCTCCAGTGGAACGCACACCAGAGAATTCATCCCAAACATTCTTGATGAGGTAGATGCTTGATTTGAATCTGCAGACGAATTTATTTTCTTAGTTTCAGGGTGTTGAATAAACAAAGAACATTTTCTATACTAGATTAGCTTTGGAAACACTGTTGACCTTCAAAACCCTTGTCTTACCTGATACAATTTAGCCGGCTTTTGTTCAATGGTAATGCCCTTTTGCTGATGCTGACGGGCTTCCAACTAGTACTGAAAATGGAACTAATTTAGCTGCCATCCCGAAGGAACAAGCCATTTGCTTTATGAGGTTTCTTTATTGTAGTCTTTAGTTTTAAGATGGCATTCTTTTTCTGGAAGGCTGTATTCTAGCGTTTTAATGTTTACCGAGATTAATGCTCTTGCAATTTAATTCCTGTGAAAAATTTCTGACATGATCGATCCCCTTTGCTTCTGCTATTATGTGTTCTTTGAAGCTGACATCCATTTATTGTTACATCTAATGGAGAATTTAGAAATTATATTTCAAACTTGTATTGAATAGTGTTATTAAGACAATAGATTTTGAATGTGTATTAAGGGATTATTAAATAAAGATTAGCCATGATCAGTTTGATAGTAAGCATTTTGCTTTTGCTGGTGCCTCCAACCGCTCAAACCCACCACTAGTAGATATTGTCCACTTGGACTTGTTACGCATCACTATCAACCTTACGGTAATAAAATGAGTCTATTAGGGAGAGGTTTTCACACCCTTATAAAGAATGCTTCCTCTCCAAGTGTAGGATTGTATAGTTCCTCTCATTGGTTACTTGTGTTTGTCTACTAGGGAGAGTTTTTCACACCTTTAGAAGCAATGTTTCGTTCCTCTCTCCAATCAATGTTGGATCTCAAAGTTTCTCTCTTTGGTTATACATATTGCTTATAGGACAACCTTATAAGAAATGTTTTGTTACTCTTTCCAACCAAGTGGATCTCACAGTTTCGATGGGGACATCCGTGAGAAATTGGCATGCAGAATTGACAGGTCCTGGCCTCCTTACACAGCATTTCAATGTTTTAGTGCGCTCAAATTGGCATCCAAGTAAAGCCATTCACGCATTCAAAAGGAAATAAACATGCACTTGAATTGAAACCACTCACCTTGGTTGCTACATGATGCAGCAGCTGAGCCTTGCACTTTATTCGGTTGGTCTTGAATTTCAGCCACAATTCTCTTGCGGATCAAATGCAATGGCATGAGAGAACAAGCAAGTGGAAAAACACACGTTTGCGTGCCAAAACAATGCGTCCTACTACTCATCTTCATCATCCTAGAGGCTGGATGGTATCAATGATAAAGGAAAGCAAAATTATATTCTCTCATTTCACTTCCACTTGCTGCAGACTATTCTTTGTGCTTCTCTGGCACGTACAAGTAGCACTTTTTGTTAAATTCTATGCAAAATGAATGTTTATTGGCGGAAAGTGCCGAAGTAAAAGAGAATACAGTTCTTATCAAAGGAGAGGCTACAGCTTCGAGAGCTAGAGAATTTTTAAAGAATCAATTCAATGCCGCTATTGCTGTATTCAACACCACAAACCTCAAGAATGTGCAAATGCTTCCAAGTCTTTTTAACACAAAACTGGCCTCTTCACTTGTAAACAGTAGGAATCATGAGTCATATTCTGCTACTTTGCCTTCTTGATGCACAAAGAATACTTTTTGAACTAAACAACACGACTCTGTACCTGATGCTCAAGCCAATTCAGTCTAATTATAGATGTTATTAGCAACGATCAACCCAGCGCGTAAGCGAGCGTGCTTTCCTTCCAGGGTGTTGTTCGTTTGAGAACTTGAAATTCATTGACAAGAATTCAATTTGTTGCATGCTACAAGATAAAATTGTCAATCATATGTTGGATCACACAGGCGCCATCGGAATTGTCTTTGTACCTATTAACCTGATAGAAACATGTACTTTGAACTTATTAATTGAGAACGATAATCCAAGGATGATGACTTGCTAATTACGTCTAGTTCTGTGTTCGCCAGATAAAATTTTAGGCTGCAGGATGCAAACTTGCCTGAATAGTAAGGTGAGCATTATTCCTTTGTTTACTTTTGTGAAAGTCAACATCGACCCGCTCCCAGCTCACGCTCGATAAACCTTTGATCATTTCTTCTACAATGATTTTAACACAATAATACTACAATGTTAAAGATGGCCAAACTAACAAATTGTAAAATCATGATCACGAAATCTCAACAGAAACTTATGAATAAAATAACATGAGACGAACTTGTGATACTCAATACAAGAACAGTTGATCTCAAATTGACTGTGAAAGTTAAAACAGTAACTATTAAATGAGTGCTTACCTTCCAAAACAGCTTTCTTGTATCCATTGGCTTCGGCCTCTGATGGCACATATAACTCAGGACTGGAAATTTTTGCCATCTCTACATTTACAATATATGGATATTTACTATCGCCTGATAACCCTTTGAGCTGAAAGGTAAAAACCAGTGAGATAGTAGTTCAAAGTCTACATAGAAAGCTTTCATGGGTAATGTTCAAAATTACCTTTGGCAACTCTTTGTGACGCCTGATAGAAGATGTACACCATCCAACGACGTCTGTGTATAGTGTTAAGGTTTATATATAAACATAGGGCAATACAACTTTCAATCTGATGAGTTTACTTGAGAGTAGAATCAGTGACTCGAGTATTTTCAATCATCTTGGGTTCAACTATTTTTTTTTTCAGGAATGTAATGGTTGAGAGCGCCTACTTGAAAAATTGGGAAGCATCGAAGAATAAGGTTAAATTACAAATTTGGAGCTTATAGTTTGGAGAAATTTAGAATTTAGCCTCGATGATTTTAAAAGCTAGAACCCATCTCTATGGTTTGACTATTTATCAAATGTTGGGACTATTTGTAAATGTTTTGTCATATCTAACGATAAGAATGAAATTCTAAATTTTAAAACCATGGGGACTAAATTCTAACCTTTTTCAAACTACAAGGACAAATTGGTAATTTAACCGGAGTAGAGAAATAATGACAGGATACTGTCGTAACGTGCATTAGCATAGGTAACACGTCGCCTAAACGACTGCAAAGCAGATCTGCAGTAGAAAGACCACAATATTATTACAGGTGAAGATGAATTTCTCTAGAAGCAGGCAAGAAATTGTCGTGAACTTGAGCTCAAAAAGAGTGGACTCACAAAAATTTGAGATCTTCACGATCACCAGCCATATGAAAAAGAAGGGGGCATTTTCCACTGTCCTTGTCAATTAAAAATAATTGCCTCCCAGTTCTTCCAAAGAAATATGATGTGCCAACAGCTACTTTTTCCAGGGCATAAAAGCCACAACACATAGGAACCTGAAACGTGAAAAGTGCTTCATAAATTCAAGAGCCACATACATGACTAGAATGCTACAACCTTCCAATTCTAAGATAGATTTACTCCAGCAAAATAATCTCTTTCAGAACGAAACCTTCTTTAGAGCGAAGAGTTTGATTCTAGTCACTAGCGAATCGTCAATGAAGTCGAGCACGAACAAATCAAAGGGGAGAATAGATAGTAAAATAGCCTATATTTGGTCACAGTGTATTTTCTATAGACAAGATGCAGAAGTTTTGAATTAAGCATATAAAACAAGAGTAGCAAAAAAACATTGATTATTCACCTGTTTATGCCCTCTTGAACCCAGATGTGGGGTCGCACATGTTATAAAATTAATTGGTTCCAGCCCTGCTATTTTTCCTTTAAATTCCTCTTCTTTGCTTTGATCTCTAAGCCCATGTTTGTCATACTCTCCATTTACTTGGACATCTTCTCTTAGTGCATCTTGCTCATAAAGCTTTGCAATGGCATACCTTGCTATCAGTCCGCCTAATGAATGGCATACGAATGAGATCTTTTGGACACTGGAATGTGTCCTGATAACTGACAAAATCTGAATGAAAAACATAATCAAGGCTTGACATATGAAAAATAAACAAAATCTATATGGCAACATGGAAATATAAACTTAGTTTTGAAAATGATGAAAACACCTCTTCTGCTAGTCTTTCTCCCATCACATCAACACCATCAAGAGTCAATGTTGAGTAATTACGTTTACTGCCTGCAAATAACACAAGTATAGTTGATGACATTGTACTCATAAAAGAAGCTTGTTACAAAGTGAACACAAAGGAATTCAGACAAAAACAGGACAACCAGTAGAAAATATGAAAAGGGTAAGCTTCCTTTGCGTTGTGTATACTTTAATTGTTGAAATTAAAAGAAGATCACATTGAAAAACTCACAATGAACAACAATATCTTCAGGATACATCTTCAAAAACGCCTCCGCTGCATATTTCCAATCTTTGGCACTGCCAATGCATCACCCAGAAAAGAATAAAAATCGACTATGTAAATACCAAATGGCATGGATTTGTTTACAGTGTAAAGAAAATCCCATTAGCAGTTTGTTATTAATTAGTGTCTAGGAGCAACTGTTTGTTAAAATAGTTGGGGCTTAGCTGTTCAACATTCTACAGCTAGAGCTAATACCTACCAGAAGTAGAACAATACGACCCACTATTGATTATAAGATAAGAAACCAATATAGAAACAGTACCCACATAAATGCTGAAGAGAATTCATTATAGAGCGATGAATTTGGATTTCAATTGCTTGAATCATAGCAACAACCAAAAGAATCTCAAAGGAAAATGGAGTAACCTGCCAAAGAGACCGTTAACCATTATAAGAAGGTGAGTGGGCTGCGGACGCTCCCCAGAGCCATTGACGACGTCTATATCCAAATTCCCTTCCTCATCGCGTTGTACTCTGAAACATCCGCATCCGAGCATAGGTAAGGAAGACGATACTGTACGATTTCCATTCTTCTTCATCCCATTTCTCGCTTCTTCTCTCTTCTCATTCTCGAATCGTCCTCTGTTTTCCCCTTGGCTCACAGCCTCATAACTCGGCTTCCCCAATTCCACAGAAGCCATAAGAAAACGTCAGAATCAAAAGAAAACAAGGAGAATCAACGAAAGAAGAGGAAGAGAAGTCGGCTAAAGTGGCGCCATCGGTGTTTGAAAACAGAGCAGAATGAAGGCCTTAAATTCCTCCGTCCAAACAAGGTTTTCGTTGAAAGCGGTTGAAGTAGTTATATGGGAAAATGGTACGACTATTACCACACCGTCTACTCGCAACCCCACCGGCTTACAGTGAAGACCCATTGCCGTAGTCCACTGAATCTGCAGGAAGACGAAGATGCAGAGACCACCATTTTCTCTTCCGCCGCCGATTCAGAATTTTCCCGATCTTCACCGCCGCAACCAGTCTGACAATTCATTTCCACACATTTCCATACAGCAACTTCGATTTCAAGAAATGGAGTGGCGATTTCGAAGTTGAGGGTAAACTTGGGAAGCTTTTGGAAGTGGTGGATCTGTCGGCTCCTCGTTGATCAAGACTAAAATCAAATGGGGCCGCAGAAAAGTAGAAGAAACAGAGCACCGCCCATCTCCATTTCCAACTGTTTGGAATTTCGACCTCACCCACCCTCTTGGTGGGTGACTCAAACATTCGGCAAATTATACTTCGTCCAATAACTTGCCGCCACGTTTCAGATGCACTGAACTCGAAACCAGGTGATCGCAACCCAATAATTATAATATTGCCTTTTTTTTTCTTTTTTTTTTTTTTTTTTTTTTTTTTTTT